TCCACTTGTTGCGACTGGTGTGTGTGTGGGGGGCGGGGCAGCTGTTTAGACTGCACTAACCAGGAACCCTGTCAGCTGTTACTGACTGGACCTGGACCCCTCCTCGTAGTCACAGTGGTCCTGTGGGGTCCCTCGTCGGTTGTGGGGGCAATTGCAAAGGGGCCTCAGGCTGCTGATGCCTACTGTTGCAGCCCACTTAGACGCGCTCCCTCCTTGTGGTCTGTAGTGGTATTGTGGGCTTTCCCAGCAGCCAGGAGCAGGATCACCTATAATTGCCACTTTGTCCCTAACAGAGCACACAAGATCACACTTGTCCACTATAGGTCCCAGCAGAGCTATGGGTATCTTCTGCAGTCTGTTGTTAGCTCACCTAGCTGTGCTACTTTTGCCCCAGGGCCTTCCTGCCTTGTGATTGCCAGTTGGGACCTCTCCACTAGTGCTGTGCAGAGGCTTTTACTGAGGCTGCTGTAGGAACCTGGAGTTCCCCCCTGGGCTATGTAGCCATTTCACTGGAGCTCCACTCTGCCCCACTCCACTCCTGCAGGATCTCTGGGAGCCCCTTGCCTCGTCTGGGACACAGCTAGAGTCCGTGGGCCTGGCGGTGGCTTGTAAGCTGCTGCCTTGTGGGGAATTCTGCTTTAGGGAGCTTCCTGGTGTTCCGAATGCTGGGCGGGGGCTCTCTGCCAATGGCGAGCAGAGGCCCTCCCTGCTGGGGGGGTGCACGACCGTGGAGTGTCCCCCCGGGCCGCAGAGCTGGGTGTTGGAGCTCCACCCAGTCCCCAAGCACATCCACGGGAAGTCTGGGCACCCCCTGCACCGATCCGTGCACCGGAGACTGTGAGCCCAGCAGCAGCTGGCAGTCTGGTGAAGTGCCAGGGAATCTGCCCGCCAGGAGCTTCCCTTTGTTCTGGATTCTGGGAAGGGCCTCCCAGCTAATGGTGAGCAGAGGCTTTCCCTGCCAGGGGGGTGCAGGACCCCCGAGCCTCTCCCTGAGCCGCAGAGCCGGGCGCTGGAGCTCCAACCTTGTCCCCAAGCACGTCCACGGGAAGTCTGGGCGCTCCCTGCACCGACCCGTGTGCTGGAGACCATGCACCCAGCAGCAGCTTGCGGTCTGGTACAGTGCTGGGGAATCTGCCTGCCGGGAGCTTCCCTTTGTCCTGGATTCTGGGCGTAGCCTCCCTGCTAATGGCAAGCAGAGGCTTTCCCTGCCGGGGAGGTGCGGGGCCCCGGAGCCTCCCCCCGGGCCGCAGAGCCGGGTGCTGGAGCTCCAACTGTGTCCCCAAGCACGTCCACGGTAAGTCAGGGCGCCCCCTGCACCGACCCGTGCGCTGGAGACCGTGGGCCCAGCAGCAGCTTGCGGTCTGGTGCCGGGCCGGGGAATCCGCCCACCAGGAGCTCCCCTTTGTTCTGGATTCTGGGAGGGGCCTCCCTGCTAATGGCGCGCGGAGGCCTTCTCTGCCGGGGGGTGCAGGACCCTGGGGATTCCCCCTGGGCTTAGGTGTAATCACGGGGGGCTTGAGTAGGGCTGTTGTCACCTGTTTCCACCGTTGCTCCGCTGGTGAGTGCACACTCCCGCCCTTGGTGTGTGGCGATGCTATGGGGGAGTCCGCTGGAAGAGAGCTTCCTGCAGGAACTAGGCTGTCTGGGGGTCAGGGGTCGAGGGTCAGAGAGTTTTCACCTATTTCCACCTCCTCCCGGGGGGAAGTCTGTTCACCTTCCTATGTATAGTAGTATGAGACTCTTAGGCATCTTGAGATGCTATCTGGGTATCCTTTGTTAATCGCTGAATGTCCAATTAGTTGTAGATTCCACGGGGGAGAGACAAAGAAGACCACTCACTCTGCCATCTTGGTCCCGCCTATTAGCACACTCTTATTGCAATTGTCCTCTTAATTGGGTTGGCACCCAGTGTAGCTGGTTGCTAGGCTCAGGGGCGTACAGTTGTGATAGGCCTGAGGCCAACAAGGCTGATGTCAGTTCTCTTAGGAGTGCAGCTGAGTAGGGCTAGCCCTTGGCGTGGAGGCACTCAGTTGTTTCAGGCTTTGGAAGGTGGGGCTGATCCTTTTTATGGCTATTTGTGAAACACAAGTCTTCTGCCGCTGATAAGCCTCACCCCTCTCTGGACCACATACACTGTCAGCACAGTCCTGGTCCATGCACACTTCTCAACCCCCTGGAGCATACCCCACTGCCACACTGCAGAGGCCCCCCCCCCCCCCGCTGCCCCAGTGCCCCCCACAGTTCACCAGGTCCTCACACAAGCCCTGCCCCACAGAGGCAGACACCTTTGCCTGCCTGTAGAGGATCAAGGCATTCAGTCAATGCAGGCTGAAAAGTAGCCTGAGGGCTTGCTGTTAGGTGGGGCCAGTCCCTAGGGTGGGTTGCCTGCCCTGGCTGAACTGGATTAAATCTGTGCTTTAGTGGGTGTGGCAGACCCCTGGGCTAACAGCCCAAGGGACGCACCTCAGTGGCCCCCACCTGTGTCAGTATCAGCACGCCTGGACCAGCTCAGAACAACGGCCCCCACCAATGTCTCAGTCTCAGGAGAGGATCCTCCTCTCACCAAGATGCCCCCAGAGCCCACCAGGTGAGTCTCGTTTCACCAAAGGACAGTCTGCCTTCTCTCTGTGATTTTAGGTTTCTGCAATGAGTGAGTTTGTGCGTGGGCCCTTTAAGACCCGGATCTTTTCGCCTTTCGGCCGATAGCTTTTCTGGGGTGTCCTCACTGCAGTTAATAGCCAGCAAAGCCAGATAGTAAGACCCCCACTCTCAGTTGGGCTGAGTCCAAAGGATGCTTATAGCAGTATTGACCCCGCTCCGGACCTCACTCCTCCAGGGAGGGCTGTGTACCTTAGGTTGGCTCCCGCCTGGCCAGCTGAGAAGCTCCACTGCTCCCAAAGGTGGCTTTTTTCCTCTCTGGCCGGAGTTACTGCCTCTTCTGCTTTTGTCAGGACTGTCCCTTGTTGTGGGGGTTCTTTTTATCCGGTTTTCAGTTTTCAATCCAGGGGGATTCTTCCTAAATTTGTTGTAACCTGGTTGTGTTTGTGGGAGGAGGCGAGTTCAACGTCTGCTCACAGCGCCATCTTGACGAGAACTCTACATTTCTCTGTTTTGACGAGAAAGAAAATTTTGTAGTGTCACTGTCTTTTCTGCCTGTGTCTTTGGCTTCAAAGGGAATTGTCACGTCTGCATTTACACTGAAGGCCTGTCTGTCTTTGGCATTCTGTCATCCAGGTTTCTTCTTATTAAATCAGCATGCTGCTTTAGACTATTCCCAGGACTTCTTTAAGGTTTGAACAATGCATTGTTTTCCCTGCTTTACACATTTCTACTTACATTTCACTTTGGGGTTTCAGAATTAACTATTCATGGGGTACATAACTAAAGTTAACTCTTTTCACATAGAGAAGAGAGTGATCAATAAAAAGTGACTTGGATGGAATTTTCTAAACCATAGGGTTTATATTGTAAATGTCTGCCTATTGCAGTGTTCTTGCATTCTAAAAAATGTCTTACGTTTCAGTCAAATTCCTATCTTTTCTTGTTTATCAATTGAATTGACTCTTAAGCTTTTGCTCTTTGGAGAAAAGAGTGTGTGTGTGTGTGTGTGTGTGTGAGAGAGAGAGAGAGAGAGAGACAGAAAGAGAGAGAGAGAGATAGCAAGCCTATGTATATGCTTTTAAACTATGGAAGTTGCCAGATTGGGGCCCTCTGAATAGGAGAATTTTCCCATTCAACAGTTGTCTTGTTGCTTTGCTCACTAGGTTCTCTTAGATTTGACTGAGATTCTTGTAAGACTATTAAGCCATGAGACTCCATCCCCACCTAGGGCTACCAATTAAGAGTTCATCTGGTATGATTTTACTATATTCCTTTTTATATGTTGTGTCCTGGCTATTTTTAAAAATTATGGTAAAATATACATAACAAAATTTACCACTTTAACCACTTTTAAGTGTACAGTTGGCTATTTGGTTTTTAGAACTTTTATTCCTTTTTGTCAGTTCTAGTTAACAGATATGTAGTGGGGATCAGCTATATGCCTTGTGCTGAGGTTGGTAAATCATTGGAAAATTAAGAAAGAAATATAAATATGGTCCCTATTCTCAAGATTAAACCTCATTAGGGAAGCAAGATATATACACACCAGTCAAATAATGATTCATGTAGATAAGGCCTTGAATGTTCAAGGAAAGCTTTGTGTAAAGGTGAGACTCAGCTTGGTCCTGAATCGGGTAGGATCTGTCTGGTGTGAGAGGAGGGAGGAAGTGTGGAAGGAAAGTAGCATACCAGCCATTTCAGTGTTAAGTCCATTGTCTTTCAGAGAATCTTTTGCTTTTCTAGCTTTGAAGCTCTCACTGTTTGTTTTTTGTGTTTTTCTTTTTCTCTTTTTTACTGTTGTTGCCTGTTTGCAAGAGTTTTTTTAAATAAGAGTTTTTTTAAATAAGCTGAATAGTCAGATGAGGGAATGTATTTCTAGCACATAATTAATATTTTTTAAAAATCACAGAAACTAAACTTATTTAACTTGGTGTTACAGACACTATTAAAAATCCAGATTTATAGTGATAGAAGGGTTAAACTTTCTATTAAAATTCTATGTAAATATCTGTGTTCATGTAGCATTAAACTTTTCAATATATTACCACTTGGGAGTAGGTATTTAATTAGAGAGTTTAGAACAATTGTGGTTATAGTTTTTATGAAAAATAATTGTATAAAAATCAGCATGTGATGAAACACATATTTATTAAAATTAATCTTGAATCCCTGCTATTCTGAATTTAGGTAAAAAGTTTAGAATGGGTATGTATTGTTTATAATGAGTAAGTTATGATTAATTTTGAATAATCTTGTATTGGCACTTGATGGCAAAGGACGGTGCCCATTTTGTTAGTGTATGTCTGTGATGGGTCAAGGATTTCGTCTGGACTGAACATAATATCTTACAATAAGAATTACAAAGTTCAAACAATATTTTTTCTTTCTCATATCTGCAGACAGGCAAGCATACACTTGGGACCCCCATGTTCACGTGACATCAAGAGGAAACGGAAACCTGTGGCCGCAGCATCTCTGTCTAGCGCAAACGCAGGTAATTAGATGTGGTTATCATCTACTGAGCACCTCCTGTGTGCCAGGCACTACATTACGTGTTTTGTATACCTTGTCGTCTAACCTTTGTGGTAAGATAGGTCGTTATTCCCATTTTATGTGGGAAAACTGAGAATATGAGAAATAATTTGTCCAAGGTCACACATTTTAAGAATTCAAACCTAGTTCTCTCTGACCCTGAAGTCTTTCCTTGTCACTGCGTGACACGACTTTCTTGAGTTAGAATCCCTATGTTCCACCGTCGACGATCTTGAGTCATCTGTGTTTTGTTCTGACACAGACAGGAAATTAAGTCCATGCTCAGGAGTATCGCATCAGGGTAACAGTTTAGTCAGTAGCCAAAGAGATACATGGGTTTATTTACTTTCTTATTTGGTTTACAGTACAGTAAAGTGCTAATATTTTACCGGTTGTGAAATTTCTAATTAAAAACAATTTTTCAAGTTAAAACCTTTAGTTTTCTAGGCAAAACTAGTTGCTAGAAACCAGAATAGTGGTTATCTTTGGTTGGGCATAGTGACCAGCAGAGAACATAAAGAAATCTTCTTGGATGCTGGATATGCTCTATAGCATGAACTATGTGGGGATTACATGAGTATATGCACATGTAAAGATTCGTTGAGCTACACGTTTATGAGTTATGTACTTTTCCAAATGTATGTTATCCTTAAATGAAAAGAAAGAGTGTAGTTATGTATTTATGTCAGGAAAAATATTAGATGTCTATAGATATTTTTCTTTGAAGTTAAGAGAAGATAGTTAAATATAATTAGTAGACATAGGAAATCCCTTGTGTTATTTCAATACAATTTAGGGTGAATTGCTCTGGATAAAAAGATCATATCTGTTTATAGGACCTATCTGAAGTACAGTTATTTTCTTGGTATGATGGTAAATTCACTCTGAGGGAATTGAGTATATCACAGATTATTTTATTTTCTTCAAAAAATACTATACATTATATAGATCAGAGCAGTTGATAGCTGAGTAAAGAGTAGACTTGAGACAGGTGGGGAACGCTATCCTCCCTGCCCTTACTTAGTTTCAGCGTACTCTGAAATTGACCCCTTTGAGCTTCTGTTTGGAATGACTGCTTGATGATGGTTCATGCTGGACAATCACAGGTATGATGATTATAGTAAATTTTTTTAGGTATTTCCACATGGCTGTGCGCTGAGATGAACAGTTTGCATGCATTATTTCTCTTAATCTTCGCAACAACTTTATAAGGTAGATGCTGTTTTTATTCCCAATTTGCACATGAGAAAATTGAGGCTTAGCGAGGTTAAGTCACTTCCCCGAGGTTACGTGGTTGTTAAATTGCAGAGCCGAGATCAGACTGGTTCCCTGTTCCTCTGGAACTGCCCTCTTAAACACTGCAGGCGTTCTCTTTTATACGAACAGAAGGGTTCGTACAATAGGAATGGTTCCAAACTATCACTCTAGATCAAAACCCAGATCCTCATGCAGTCTATAGGATTGGAAACCTTAAAACACGTTCTCCCCTCTTGTATCTTTTTGTTCTTTTTTTCTCTTTAATATCTAGCTTCTACTTTTAGCTTTTAATTGTTTATAAGAGAAGAAATGTTGAGAAGAATTTAAAATCCTTTTCCATATTCCAGTCGTGAAATGTACTGGGAAGTCTTAAACAAGACTTGCACATTAAATGTTCCCCTACTGAGCCCAAACTCCTCCTCTCACTTGTTGACTAAGGCCTGCTTCACTGAACATTCTCTTTTTTTTCTATCCACAACCTGAGTGCCCCATGGAGGTGAAGGACATAGCCCGAGCCCGCGCCATCAGTCAGTAGAACAAATGGGCTTGCTCTGACTAACATCGGGCCATCTCGGATTCCACCTCTTTTATAGAAATGAGTGATGAAGAGAGGTGCGTTCCGCTTTGCCGCTGTATTAATACACATCAGGGGCCAGCTCCTGGCACTAAATCACGCTGCTGCATACATCTGTTATCGGACTCTTCACCAGTGTGATGAACAAGACTGCAGATAGAGGCTTCCTTGTGTCATTCTTTATAGGATTTTCCTAAAAGAATAAATAGCTCAGATCTCTGCCAACACTCTCCCCTGTCACTGTGATGAATTCAGCTTCTTTCTTAAACATGCAGCCACAAATCTTTTCCCTTTTTCCCTCCCCCAGTGGTGGAAAGTTTTGTGTTGAAATTGACTGAATTTAAAGATATTAATAAGGCTAGAAAGGTGAAGAGCAGAAAGGAATAGCATGCCTTCCTGTCTTTTTGTACTAATATTAACAAAGGCCAGGGAGAAGGAGCTTTTCATAGAGTTAAGTAGATCCTTCTTGAAAGCGTAGCACCTTTCTTTTCCTCTTTTTATCTCCACTCCCTTTCCCTTTATGGCTTTATAACATGCAGGTGTCTGGTGCACAGAGCCATCCCTGGATCTTATAGTGAGTAACCATGTAACCTGCTTCTAAGTCCAAAACACCAGAATAGGGAATGCCCAGCAAGTCTCTGCCTCATGCTGAAGGGAACTAGCTGTGTATGTTCCTGAAGAATGTAACTGGAAAATAAAAAATGAATCGTTTTCTTCAAAATTTGAGGCTAAGTAGCTATAAGAAACATGAGGAACTCAGATGAAGACCAGACTTGGTTTCCTTGAGATGATTTTCTTCATTAGAATAGCAGATCAGAACTTTTGGTGTGCAAATCCCATTCCTTCAAAAAATAAACACATGGCTTTCAGTCAAGGAGCATAGGGATGATAAGATGTTCTACTCAGAGCCCTGACTATTTTGGCCACTCCAAAAGCCTTTTCTGACCTTTTTCTCCCTGGGATAGCGTATGAGTCCTTAGAGTGTCAGTCAAAAGGGTAGCCACCAGTTAACCTGTTAATTAGTTCCATCAGATTCCAAACACCAGGCCAGTGATGCTCGTGATGCATTCTCAAGGGCAGGAATTTGTATCTGTTTTGCTCACTGCTGTACTCCTAGCATCTAGAATAATGCTCAACACGTAGAATGATCTTATTAGGTATTTGTTGTATGGATAAGTGAATGGAATCTTAAGATAGAAACAGTGTTATTTTAACCCTGTGATTGGATTCAGGAGTTCCATTTTAGCATGGCCCTTGTCTCAGGAGTCATAGGGCAGATTCTTATTGCCTGCTATACCTTTTTAAAGTTTAAATTATTTTTTAAAGTTGAAAATTTTTTTTAAGTAAACATTGAATGGCTATAAAAGAATCTTTGTAGAAGACAGGTAAGATGTAAAGAAAAACAATACAACAAATAACCATGTACCCACATCCACTTTAAGAAGAAGAGTGTCACCTTTACAATCCTCTTCCCATTCTTTGGGTATAGTTTTTTTGTTAATCATTTATCATTCTTTGTTTTTTTTCAAATAGTTTTAACAGACATATATATCTCTAAGCAATATGTTGTCTAGTTTTGCATGTTTTTGAACCTTGTGTAAATGGAACATCATATTTTATGTTACAAATTTCACCCAGTTATGTTCTTGAGATTCATTCATGTTTTGTCCTGCCAAAATCCATTCATTTTTTACAGCCATAAATATGGTATTCCATTGTATGAATATGATGAATATACTACAATTAAGCATTCTTGATGGACATTTGGATTGTATCCCGTTTTATGCTATTGTGGAAATACTGCATTGTTCTCTGGGAGAACAAGAGCTAAAGTTTATCTGGGCAACTTCACACTCTTAGGATGGCTACTTCAAAAACACAGGAAACAGGCCCAGCCCTGATGGCCAAGTGGCTCAAGCTAAGTGTGAGTCCGCTTTGGCGACCCAGGTTTGGTTCCTGGGCATGGAACCACACCACTTGTCTGTCAGTAGCCTTGCTATGGCAGGGGCTCCCGTAGACAAACTAGAAGAATTTACAACTAGGATACACAACCATGTAGTAGGGCCTTGGGGACTAAAAAAAGAGAGAGAGAGGAAGATTGGCAACAGATGTTGGGTTAGAATGCATCTTTCCTAGCAAAAAAAAAAAAAAACCAAAACAGGAAACAAGTGTTGAGAAGGATGTGGGGGAAATTGGAACTCTTGTGCATTGCCGGTAGGAATGTAAAATAGTGTAGCCGCTATGGAAAAAAGTATGACGGTTCCTCAAAAGTTTAAACATAAAACTACTGTCTGATCCAGCAGTTCTGCTTCTGGGTGTATATCCAGAAGAACTGAAAGAGGGGATTCAGACAGATATTTGTACACCAATGTTCTTAGCAGCAAATTCACAATAACCAAAAAGTGGAAACGACTCAAATGTCCATCACTGGATGAATGGATAAATGAAATGTGGTATAACCTACAATAGAATATTATTCAGCCTGAAAGCCTTCATTATTCAGAATAAAATTCTGCCGTGTTACAACATGGATGAAGGCAGTATACTAAGTGAAATTAGCCAGACACGAAAGGACAAATACTATGGTTCCGCTCATATGAGGTACCTGGAGCAGTCAGAGTCATAGAGACTGAATGTGCAAGGGTGGTGGCCAAGGGCTGGAGGAGGAAGGGAATGGGGAGTTGTTGTTTAATGGGACAGAATTTCCATTTGTGAAGCTGAAGAGGTTCTGGAGGTGGATGGTAGTGATGGTTGTGCCACAATGTGAGTATGCTTAATGCCACTGAACTGTACACTTAAAAATTATTAAAAGGAGAAATTTTGTTACGTATATTTTATCATTATAAAACATACATAGCAAAAAAAGTGTTTCTAGGGTAGGGATTTTTCACTGTGGTGGATGATCATGTAGTAATGGTAGGTATAGTTTTATGAAATTTCTTTTCAGTCAGATATGAGTGAACAAGCATGTGTGTGAGAGAGAGAGATTTGGATTGTGACGTCAAATGTATTTTTTGCTGCTGTGATTGAGGTTCTAAAACATATGACAGCCACTGCCCTCAAGAAACTCTTGTAAATGTGCCATAGAGTAATAGTTTTCAAGATGTTTTTTACGATAATTCACAGTAAGAAATTTGTTTGAATATGTATTAGGTGTACATGTAAATTTGACGTAAACCCTTGGGTGCTCTCTGATATTTTCTGTTCTTTTTCATTAAGAAAAAAATGTACTGGTCATGACCCACTAAATTGATTTTGTGACCCACAATTTGAAAATTGCTATTCTAGGTCACATTCCTGGGAGTAGAATTATTGAATGACAGGGTAAAAACGAAACTTTTGTATGTTTTGCTCTATTTTAGTCCATGTCCCTTTTCAGCTGGGTGGGATGGTGATTTGTACTGCTCTGCTGAGGGGGCATTTGGAAAAGTGAGGACAGTGTTTGTCGCAGTGACTGGGGAGTGCGTTTGGCCTCCAGTGAATAGGGTCCAGAATGGTAAGTGTCCTCAGATACATGGGACAGCCCTCCCCAAGCAGTGTTTCCATGTCCAGAACGTCTCTAGTGTCCCTATTGAGAAGCAATCTGTGATTGTGCTGCCGTTTTCCTTACTGGGCTGTCGTATTGGAGGCATGGGGTGTGACAGAGCACAGGGCTTGCAGTCCAGTATCTGAGTTTGACTCTCCTGCTACTTAACCAGCTCTGTTGTGTCCCTGAACAATTTATCTGCTCTCTCTCTGCCTCAGTTTTCTGATCCAGAAAATGGAGATGACCATACCTACATTAAGAAATAAGATTGCCATGAGTGTGCAGTGTTTACCCAGTACAGTGCCTGGCACATAACTGCTTACTAAGTGATTATTACTACCTTGTTAATTTGTTCTACTGAATTTATTTATTTGTTCAGTTAAACCCATTTTCTCAAGTGGAGAAATACTTATCTTACTTAAATCTTGCCTTTATTTTTTTGTAAAGAAAAAAGAGAAACCTTATGTGACCACTTCGGTTAATAGGACATAAAATAAAAGGATTAAGAAAATTTTGCGCTGATGAGTCTCTCATTCTAATTTGTCTCCTCCTGATTTTTTCCTCCTTACTTTTATTGTAACACCCTTACCAGTTCATATGGATGCAGTGGAGCCAGCCACCCCAGCATCGCAGGCCCAGAAATCTCCAAACTCTGAGTGGCTGGTCAGGACCTCTGCTGCAGAGAAAGCCACCGACTCAGCTGCAGCTACGTTTTTTAAAATGCCACAAGAAAAGAGCCCTGGATACAGCTAGAGAGCAGCATTTCCCCCCCAGGAGCCGACTGGGTGTGTTGAAACCAATGTTAGACTTCATATTCTATGGTCTCGCGTATCTTAATTGACGTTCTCAGTCCTTTCAGCACCAGGACCGACTCCTCCTCAGACAAAGCTGTGGACTTTCTCTTAGAAAATCATGTTCTGGAAATCTGTTTGTTTTTTTTTTTTTAAAATCGTAAAGTATTGGGGCAGCAATTTTTTTAAAAAAACATCATCCTGTGTTCTATTTGTTACATTGCTATTGCTGTCCCAACAGCTACCCACAGCTCCGTTTAACAGAGCTGTTGCTTTTTTGCAGGTATCTCTTTTTCCTTGAAAAACTAGTAACTGCTTTTGCCTATTTTTTGTAGAGCTTTTAATATCATTTGAGGAAATCCCAAATTTGTAGCCAGTTCCAGACAGATTTAAACACTGAGTTAAGACCTGTGTGTGGAATTGTTTGCAGGAAGTGGGGCCTGCCTTTGAGCCTGGTCTTGATTCACTCAGAGTGCCAATAAGATAAATCTGCCACGTTCTCAATTTGGAGCCTCGGAAGAGACACCAGCAGCACCGGCCTTGGGAACTTCTTCCATTTTTCTAGATGGCCTCATGGGATCGCCAGCAGCTGCACTGTACTTTGCGTCATCTCCAAAGTTCGTATTCTACCAAAAGAGGACATCTACATCTGGGTAGATGGGCGTAATGGAGAAGACGGTGTAGGCGCACAGCAAACTTAACATAGTGGACTGTGTCTGCATACTTCCTGTCGCGGTGTGAGCCTTTAGGTACTCACTGGGACTTTTATTGTTCATATTATAGGTCAGTACCTACAGCAGAAATTCATACTCTATTAGAATAATAGCTTCTTGGGGCCATACTTTGGGGAGGGAAAATGTCTTTTTGACATGCCTTTATACTTGGCATGTCTGTGACGGCTCAGCTGCCTGTAGAGTTATAGATACAGCCAAGCCTGAAGTTGGATGCTACTTTGTCAAAATGGGGAATAAGTGACTGCCTAGAGCTGCTGGAGGAAAGCCACGCTTTCTAAAAATCATCAAGAGTGTCCGCCATTCAGGGGCCTGGTGGACAGAGGGCTTTTTTTGGTATGTATTGAGCGCTTTTGCTCTGAAGTACACAGAAGCTGTTCTCTGAGTGCCCACTGCTCGGTTGGTGTTCTAGAGGAACTCCCACTCCTGCGTCTGCTTATCTTCCGTGTGTAAGTAGGTGCCGTGTAGGACAGAGCTGGCTTTGCCCAAAGCCTGGTTATCCCTTTTTCTCGCACAGAATGTCGTGGTGGGCTGCTCTGTTGTGTTCCCTTTAAAAGTTACCATCCTCCTCAGTGAGCTGCAGAATTTCCTGGTCAGTGGGGTGGGTGTGAATCTAGTTGGGAAGGGGGACTTGCCACCAAGTTTACAGAGCTCTTTGTACAGGACTGAGAACATGTCAGTTGTCCTGAACAAGGAATATGGTGGAGGGAGGACCAGATGGGGGTTACGGGGTGAGGAGTGGTGCTGAAGCCAGCCTGCATCCGTGGGAGCCACCCTGATCTCATGTCGCAGTGAGCGCACTTCCCTTCCCTGTGGGCTGCACCCAGCGTATAGAGGATAGGATGTCTGTTGAATATAGAATGGCACTACTGAGTTGTTTTAGTGATGAAGGCAGGTTTTGTTGTCCTGTGTGCGTTCTTACCTAGTCCCCATGGTGTCCTGAGGTACACGTTTCTAACATAATTTGTTGGATTTAAGAGAGAAACCCATGGACATAATTTTTTTGCATAAAGCTCCGTGGCTCATGCAGAGATTGGTCCTGTGTTCGTGGCTTCTTAAGACCTCTGCAGTTCAGGTAGCATCTTATCTTCAAGACATGTTGCCTAATAATTCTCCTTTCTACCTGTGATGAAAAATAGTTTATGTATTCAACTTTGCTTATGTTTTAAACATCTCTGTGATGTAAAGGTAGGTGACTGCTGCCATTTTACAGAGACAAGAACAGTCACAGAGTTTAGTGACTTGCCCAGAATCACATAATCAAGCCCAGACTAAAATCCCAGCCTTCCACTTTCTCTGCCCTGGGTTATAATCTTGTTTTTCTTTGAGAGACCCGAGTCACTCAGACCCATATTTTTGAAACGGTATGCCATGAATATTTATCATCTTTCTTGGGCATGCTTTTCTACATATTTTGAATACTTTCAACAGGGATCATCCCAAAACGCCCTATCTTCCTGTAATAAGTGGGGAAGAAAATTAAGTACCTAAGAGAATAGCTGTTAAGCACACAGTTACTTTCCACGCCGGGTTGTAAGTGGTGCGTCTTGTTTTAAGCTGCTGCATGAGCTTGTGTACAGAATTATTAACCAACTTACTCTGCTGGAGGAATAACCTTAGAATTGAGTGTATTTTGAATCCTAAATTTTAAATTTCCTTTTTATATGGCAAAGTATATAATGTCATAAATTAAAAATCTGTTGCCTTTCAACAGAACACATAATTTCAAAATCAGGTTCTATAGTCTGTTGAGAAAACTCTAATAGTAAGACTTCCTTTGAGGATAATCATTGAGCTCACTGTTTGATCTCTGCAAAAATAATAACTGAAGCTGAGTTCCACAGTTCTCACTTATTTCAGGGTTCTGATTTTTCCCAGCTGGCTGCACAGTCTTCCTGGCTGAATCCTAATCTTGTGTATTTTCCACCGTGTACAGAAGTCAAGACATTATCTACTTGCATACGGATCATTCATGAAAGTTAGTTTTGCTTACAAGCTTAAGGGAATTTGAGATTATTTTTCAGATGCAGTATTTTAAAGGGAACACTTCATTTGCATCAAAACTCTTGTGTTGCTTCTTGTTAAGAACTGTTCAGCATGGGAAGTCAGTAGCTCTTTCCATAGTGCCAAGTTTGGGAGACGGAGAGTATGATCTTTACTGAGTGATATGTGCTTGATAAATAGGACACATTTAGTCTTGAATTCTTTAGAAATCAAATGTAATTGAAAATTTCGTAAAACATTGTTTCTCTGGGCTTTGAAACAGGCTGCAAACAAGGCCATTTGGGCAACAAAGTGACCAGAAGCTGAATTAGTTTCTTAATCTCTGATGTTTATGGCATCCTTTGCTAAGTCGAGCTCAGCGCCTAGGCCAGGTACTTAAACTATTTGTGAATCCCAAATAGATGAATTTGATCTGTCTTTGCATTTTGGAATCAGAAACACAATCTAGACCACAGCATGGCAAATGCTGAGGCTGCAAAGTAAAGGAGCAGAGTTCTCCCAGAAGTCACTTTAGAGTTGAACAAATTCTAGAGTGTCGTGAGGAAGGAGGGAGGCCACCGTCATTGCTGATGTGATGGCTTCTCTGCTTTGGCTCCAGGCGAAGGCTCTGGTGATGCGTGATTCATTTCAAGTCTTCGCTTTATTTTGGGTTCATTGCCATGGTTCAGAGCCATGCACTTTTTGTTTCCTGGGGAGAAGGCTATGTAAAAGAGTCTCAGCATTAGATGCCGTATTCAGTGTTCTGTATGTCTGGCGAACTTTATCTGAGTTGAGATGAGAAGAGAGTGGCTTTTTCTAGCAGCTGTGGGTGCAGTCTAGTTTGGGGCATGGCTTACACGATGTGTCATGGTTTGTGGGTTGGTGGGAAGGATGGTGGAAACAATCTGCTCCTTTTTGTTTTTTGGGTTTTTTTGGTGAGGAAGATTGGCCCTGAGCTAACATTTGTTGTCAATCTCCCTGTTTTTGCTTGAGGAAGATTGTCGCTGAGCTAACATCTGTGCCAGTCTTCCTCTGTTTCGTATGTGGGATGCCAGCACAGCATGGCTTGATGAGTGGTGTGCATCTCTGCACCCAGGATCCAAACTGGCAAACCCCAGGCTGCCGAAGTGGAGCATGAAAACTTAACCACTAGGCCACCGGGCTGGCCCTGGTAGAAACAGTCTGCTCCTGCCATCAGCTGCTTCCTTTGTTAATGCTTGAGCTGCCCATTTTACCTGTCAGTACTGCCTTATTTCCCACTCCTGTTGTGACAGTCAGTGGAGTCATTGATGATGACAGCAGTCAGGATGGGTTCCTACACATGGGTACAGAGGGAAAAGGTGAGGAAATCCGTGGGTTCTGCTGTTAGCTACTAGTAAACACGAGTGGCCCAAAGATGCTTTCACCCACAATAAGACCACAAAACTGATGAACATCAAGTGCCTGGAAACAGCAACATGAAAAAGAAACAAGGCAAGTGAATAATGTTACTGAGGAGTACACATTATAAGGTTTTTAACAAGCCCAGCAAAACAAACTTATGGCCAAAAGGAGAAATTTTCCTGCCACGGCAAATAGACATAATCAGCACTTGGTAAAACTGCCAAATTTGGGGAATAAAAAACCTTCCCACCCAGTATTGAAGAATGGGGCAGATCCTGAAGATGTTCTCCACGGAAAGCAGTCTTGGCAAGGTCGACAAGTGGGAAGAGAAGGGGAGATGCTTAGAGCGGGGGTGCTAGGGTCCCCACCAACAGCATCAGTACGCTCTTGTCCCGCCAGCAGCTCTGAGGGTGGGGCCTGGTCGCCTCTTACAAGCCCTCCAGGGGACTCTGGTGCACGCTGACGTTTGAGAACTGCAGGCTTTGCCACTGTTAAAAAGAAGTGTTTTAATGTACTGTTATCCCCCTGTGCTCTGAGGTGCTCTTATATTTCCCTCCGTAAGTGTACAGATATTTCGTATATGATTCTTTGCAGAAACTGTTAATGTCTTTATCTCCCATACTTTTTCCCTCAAGCTCTTGAAAGATACCCTGGAAATATTGAGGAAGAATGATGTGGAGAAAAATGTCATTGCGGCCATATTTAGATGGAAACAACCTTTTAAAAGTGGATTAAAATATAACAATGAATTTTTAGTCTGTGAGTGATAGTCATTTTTCACAATTGGCAGTAAAACATTTGTGTGAGATACTGCCATCCGTGCTTTTATGGTATTTGTTCATTGCATCCTCTTTTCATGGGAAAATGTCATGTATCTTCCAGCATCATAATGATGAAGCCTTTATAGTATGGCTCACAAAAATGAAAAAGATAATTGGAAGAAAAAACCACCCTGAATACATAGCTATTATGTAATAAATACCTGTTGAGTCATTGCTAATCTTTTGCCAGGACTTAATCTCAGTACTTCAGAGCCTGTAAAAATCAATTTTCAGTGATCGCACAAAATGACACCCTGTTGTCTTTGTTTTACATTTCAGCTAGTAATTCTGCAGGGTTGGGGACCAGTAGCAACAGCATGTTACATTTTTTTGTTGTCTGACTCATAGATTCAGCATTTCAGAATATGGCACTCTAATCATAAACTTTGAAATGAAATCATGACCATTTTTTCTTTAGATTTTATTTCTATGAGTTGGGCTGGGCCCTAACTTTTTGCTAAAGCCTGCGAACCCAGGTTCTCTCTGGGAATATGTGTGGCTAAGGAGGAGTTCTCTAATACCATTCCTCAGATGCTCCTGTTGTTTTGTGCCCAGGTCTTAATTTATAAATGTGACCCACGACGTTAAACAGGAAAAGTTTCATGTTATTCACAGTTCCCCTACAAACAAGAGGCACAGCTTGCCATGCAGGGCCACAGGACGAACACCAGATTTGGGTCAGGAGGCAGCAGACAGGAGCAAGCAATAGGTTAGGCCAGAGCCTTTATTGAGGTTTCCTCTGGAAAGGCAAGGCAGGGCAGGGTAAACATTTTAGGACTGGCTGGTGTGAATAATTCCAGGGCCTTTGGGCTGCACCGTGGTCTCAGGTTGCCTGGTCCCTGGCCCTGGGATGATCGCTTTCTGGGCGTAGCGGCCAGATGGAGGAGGTGTGGCTCCATCATACCTCGTGAGTGCGCACGTCACAAGCGTGCTGCTTGCCTGAGTCCTTTGCTATTGCTGAGAATTGGCTAGCCTAGGAGAGGCAGTCTCTCCGCAGCCAGAAAGGTTTTTGAAGATGTCAAAACATCGTAATAGGAAATAAAAAACGTGGTTAACACACGTGTAGGCTGTTTAGCTCTCATTTCAATTTTTGCAGTATTTTAAAACATATACTTTTTCTTTTCCATCTTGAAAACCAGTTAAAATTACCTCTGGCCAAAAATGTTAGCGTTACTAGATATTAGCAAGGTGTGAGAATATAAAAAGATTTTTAAGATGTGAATTATGAAAATTAATGTTCTCTTTCTCTAGAAGTGAGTTCTGACCCTTGCAGATCGCTCATTCAAATGTTTTTAATTGAAAAAGGAAAGAAAATAGAGAACTGACGAACAGCCTTGGTAGCTTTGACTTAAATAAACCCGTTTCACCTTATGTAGATTCTGCATCTCGCTCCTCCCCGTGGGCCGTGGATTTCTTCATGAAGAGCTGTCGTCACCGTGCCAACTTCTGCCACCCCAAAATCGTGGCAACAGTTTGAATTGCTCTAAATATTTATCTCACTCATCCTCCCACCTGTGGTCAGCAGCTACTGCAAACTGGCCGTTTTCAACCCTCTGCCCCGCCTTCTCTCAACCTCAGCAGCCTGCCACACCCCTCCCCCAGCAGATTACAGAGCCTTGGTGGGGAGCCTGCATTTAGACACCTTCACACACACCCTTCCTCGCCTCTTCCTGCAAGTGTCTGTCCTGGCCAGCAGGGATCCCTTCTCCTCTGCTCTGGGTCCTCTCCCCTGACCAGACACTGAATCTAGCTGCTGCTTCTCACTCCTGGCGTGAACAACTTTGCATTTAAACACATTCAAAGACTCCCTCTTCAAAGAACAACACCCTTCCTCAATTCTTTGAGCCCCATCACTACCACTAAGTGCACTTCCTCTCCCGCGCTTCCTGCCCGGAAATCTTCAGTACACGGAGCAGTGGCTTCTCACCCTGGCCGTGCACTGGGATCGCCTGGGGAGGTTTCAAAAACTCCCAAACCACAGACTAATTACATCAGCTTGGGATGGTGGGACAGCTTTTGTCTTTTTAAAGCAACAGGCAGCCAGGGCTGAGAACCACCACATGAAAACCTGGCCCCTTGCCACCAGTAAAATTGTTCTTGCTGGGTTCACCAGAGACTTCCAGTTGCCAAAATTTACTCCTTAGGTTGATCTTTATGACTTGATACTGTATAACTACTTCCTTTTTGGAATTCTGCCTTTTCTGACCCTGCTGTTCCCTGGTTTTTCTCCTACTTTTTTTTTTTCCCCCGATGAGGAAGATTGGCTCTGCGCTAACATCTGTTGCCAGTTTTCCTCTTTTCACTTGAGGAAGATTGTTGCTGAGTTAACATCTGTGCCAGTCTTCCTCTATTTTGTCTGTGGGACACCGCCACAGTCTGGCTTGATGAGTGATGTGTAGGTCTGTGCCTGGGATCCGAACCTGCAAACCCTAGGCCACCAAAGTGGAGCATGCAAATTAACTACTACACTACCCTTTCTCCAGCCCCGTTCTCCTACTTCTTTGCTCTTTCTCAGTCTCCACAGCTGGGTGGGCAGATTGGTTGGTAGGTCAGTCTAACACAGACTCAATGTCTGTCTCTGCCCTTCCCTCTGTTACTTCACTTAACACCTGTGTGCTAACGAGTTCCTTTGCCATCTGCCTTAGTGCACTGACTCGAAGCACAGACTTAGAGTGAAGCATTTACATTCATTAATAATCGTGGTAAACTTCCAGGAAAGCATACTGAAGGTCTCTCTCCTTCCCTCGCTTCTCTTTGAGGTAGGAAGGATTGCTAATCAGGCTCATCAGATTCTGAGATGGGTCCCCCTGTTTCCTAGTGGGTGGAGTAGCTGTTCATGGGAAGTCAGGCTTGAGCTGTGGTCCACCGTCCCTTCCTCCCTTCCAGGGTCTTCACTGGCAAGGAGGCCTGGGCCCTGCTACGTCCGAGGAGGCTACCCCCATCTAGTGTTCTCTTCCGGTTTTTACTTGCTGCTGCTGGTAAGATTTTAGTTTGGGTTTAGGAGGTGAGACAAACCCATTTCCTCAGCACTTTTTGACCTTGGTACTGTGTTAGATCTTACTTTATCAGAGAGCTGTTTATTGGGGTTTTAGGCACCAGCCCTACTAGTCATTAAGCGAAACTTGCTTTCCCGCTTCGCCACCATCGCTGCATGCTGCCTCTGGAACTGGATGTAGGGGTTCCACCCTCGCCAGAAGGGACCCTGTGTGTTCATGGCTGCTTTGCATCCTAGTTTCTGATTCAAAATCTGGAGTGGGTGGATCTGATTAGTAATGACGTGCAGCTGGAACACCAGCTGCGGGAAGCGAGAGTGAGGTTATCTGGAATGTTTAGCTTCCGTTGGGGATGGATGAATTCCGCAAACAGAGGGCGACAGTTCAGAGGCTGCACAGCCGGCTGCAATAACAAAGGTCCGCTAGAGTCATTGCCCTGGTCGCTGTTCCAGCAGACAGTTCTCCAGTGCTCACCAAGCCCGTCTTCCTCGGAGACCCCTTAGGGAAGAGGGTGGCTGCCCCAAAGCAGGGTGTTCCTAGGTTAGTTGGGTGTCCTCTGCTTGAAACCAGTAGAACCCTTTCTAGAGCTAGTAATAATAGTGACTCTTTATGGAGTGATTATTATATGGCATTTGTCAACAGTATCTCACTTAGCCCTCAACAGCTCTAAGGTAGGTACTTTTCTCTCTGTTTTAAAGCAATGAAATATGCGTACAGTTATAGATTAACTTGCTCAAAGTCACAGAGCTCATTAGTGGATTCAAACTCCAAGCCAGGATTCAAGCTCCAAGTCTGTTTGACGCTGGAGTTTCCTTTCTCAGCCAATACCCTATGCTGCCTCTTTTCAGAATATAAGTGAACTATTGGTGGGCATGTATATCTGAAATAAACTACGTGCCACTGGGCCCAGGGCTAGGTGTCTGCCGACACCCTCTTACCCCATTTAACTGTTGCTCCTGGTGGGCTGTTTCTCTATCAAAGCAGCGGTGATTGGGTTCACCTCTACTCTGTGCCTACATCATTGAATGGAGATAGGCAATTTCTGTGGCATCCTCTTATAATGACCTCTTCTTGTTTTTGGAAGTGACTAGAGCAAAAGTCAATAAAAGCTTCCAAACCTGTGGGAATAAAAACGTACTGTTCTTTGTGTGCCAAAGTAAAACTGATGTCTAAGCCAGGAGGACATGGCTTTGAGTTGTTAATGGTAGTGATGGACTATGCTGAACATCTTGCGAAGCATCTCATAGAACTAGCAAAATAGCTGTCTTAACAGTCTTGGCCTTTATAAATGTCCCTTCCTTCAGGAGCTTTGTATAGAACACATTTTATGCCAAGAGCTATGCTGGGAGCTGACTATACAAAGAGGAAAGGTGTTCTTGCTGTCATGAGGTTCTTGGTCTTATGAGAAAGAGGCAAGAAAAGCGAATATTACATGTAGAGTGATAAATTTTGCAATAAGGATATCAGGGTCTTTTGACAGCAAGGAGGAGGGCTCTCTCGTTCAAACTGGGCGGAGGGAGGATTCAATAAATACCGAGCCAAGTCCTGAAGGATGAACAGGAGTGAAGTAAAGACGAGAGGATGCAGCCACGCAAGGCTAACGAGTGTGGTCTGTTGAGGGCACCCTGAGTATTTTGGTAGGGCTGACGTCTAAAGCATATAGAAGAGCAGGCACAGGTAAGCGGGAGATGGAAAGGGAAGGGCCCTGTGTACACTGGCTTGCTTGTTGATTTGGAGAGCTGTCACAGGGTTCCTCTGCTGTGCAGTCATGGAAGCCCTATTGCAGTTGGTCCATTGTGCAAACAAAGCTGGAACCAAGATGTGAACAGGTTTGCATCTACTTGATCCCCTTCCTGGGAAATATAACCAGGTCCACTGACTTGTAGGAGCTACTGCCTTGGTTGGAAGTAGGTTAAACTGAATTGGAAAGATCAGTTTATACCATGGCTGACTGATGCCCTTACGTGTTCTATCGTGATGCCAGTCTGAAGTTATTCCCCTTGAACCATCTTCTCTTGATAGAATTTAATGCACAATGTGGTAGTCCTAATGCCTAGGAGTGTTCTTCAGTAATAAAGTTGCCGTCAACGACCAGTTAGGCATTTTGGGCTTTGTTTCTCAGTAGCAACCGCAAATTTATGTTGATCCATTCACATCTTTTAGATCGGGGACCTTTGCGATTTCTA